TCTGATTCCCGGAGCGGCGGCGGCGACATCCGCGCCGGTGATGGTTCAGCGCGGCGGGAGAGGGAGCTAGGCGGAGAGTTGCGTGCTCGCGTCTGGACGGGTGCGCCCGGAGAGCGTCGTGGCTGGGCGCGAGCGGGGTGGGCGGCAACGGTTTGGGAGAAAGGGTGCCAAATCCGGACCGGAGACTCTTGGTAAATTCGCCGTACCGCGAGGGGTGGTACTGGAGTGTGGCCCGCCGGTGTGCTGCAGCTGCGCTGCCTGGTGCCAACAGACGTGGATCCTCGGCTGACCGATGTGGCCGACGCGAGTCATCGTGAGGCTTAACCGGCGACCATTGCCTTCAATGCCTGTACGCCTTTATTCCGCCTTCGCTGATGTCAGGGGCACTACTCCAGCACGCGGCCCCCCCGTTCCCCTCGCAAGGTGCCAGTCGGGCGTTCCTGGTGTCTTTCGCCACCCTTATTCACGACCACAGGCGGTCAACGATGACAAATTCGATCAAAGAAGCAAGCAATTGACGAGGATTTGTCATGATGCGCAATCGCAGCGCTTTCCATCGCGTGGGCTGAGGCAATTAGCAGCCCAGCGGCATTTGTTTGTTATATGTTTTATCTATTTCAACCCTTTGAATACCCATTTCGCAGCCACTCTTTTCAACAAGAGGAATGGCATCTTCCGGATGGCCAAACAGAACTCTGCCAAATTTTCTATTCGATACTTTCTGTTCACAGGGTCGACGCTGCTCGCACGGAGAGTCCCCAAAGCGATGAGACTAACAACGACCAACACCTGAGCATTGTTCGAGCAACTTGGCCAACACGAATCAACGCTGTGCTGCGAGTAAAACCTTCCACAAGGCTTCCATGAAATCATACAGGTCACATAATCAAATCCCGGCAACAACATCCCCAGTTTGGCGCAGTTCAATTTCGGAGTCGCCTGCGGCCGATGCACGGCGAATGGAGGCGCCCTGGCGCCGTCCAATTTCTTCGCTCGAATAAAATTGCAACTGGGTTGCTTCCCGCTTTTCCAAATTCACGAAATTCCACTCAGGAATCACACCATTCAGGTTCTTTTGCAGTTTCCAGTCCCCCACTCCTCTTCTAAGAACAGGCGACGCCTTTGGTGGCCAGCCCACCACCAAGCCACACGGCCACGCCTCCTACCACATACGTTGTATATATACGGTGTCCACATCAACACACCTTATATCTCGTACCAAGGCATCGCGGCACCCCCTACCGCCAGGTTTGCTCAACACGACCCCGCTCGTAAAACAGTCCGGTGTAATCGACCTCCTTGCCTTCGGCACTTGGCCCCCTGTGCGTGCCCCTGAGCCTCCTATAATGCGGCTTGCTCCCCCTCCCCGCTCGCCTCAACTCCCCCCGGTTTCCCGCTGACTTGCCTCCCAGCCTTGCCCTCTGAGCGGACAGGAAGGCCGGCGCCCAGTGGGCGGGAGCGCTGTCGGCCTTGTCGAATTCCTCCTTCTCCGTTGTGGGCGGCAGACACGCGCTGGCCGCTCTTCTAAGACTAGAGCTGGCCTCGCCGACGAACGACTTTGCCAAGTCCACGGCGTCTATCCGCGCCAGAACCTTCAGCCGTTCCGCTGCCGCCCTGCCCCCCCGCTTGCCTGACTCCAACACGTCCGTGTAGCCGAACAGGCACGAGAACGGCGTCCTGAACTTCTTCTCCCTCTTGGAGCCGAATCTGAGGGGGGGGTCGCATTCCTCCAACAAAATTGATGCACCATCCGCAGGGGGTGCTATATCTAAAACCACGACCGTCGTGTCGTTTAGGACGGGCCCGTTGTGCGCCGCCAGCGCGCCGCTGACGACCCGGGACGCGGCCATGGAGATGGGCACGCCACGCATCATCTTGGCGGCCTTGTCCCACGTGATCATGTCCCAGAGGCCGCCGGACGCCATCAGGAGGCGGGTGGGCCGCTTGGGCAGGGCAGCCTGGGAACGGAACAATCCACACTGTTGTTGACAGTCTGTCACACGTCTCCGCTCAATTGCCTTTGGCTAGGTCAGATCTAAACAGGACTTGAAAGAGATTCAAATGGAGACTACGCCTTTACAGACAACGCGGGAGCCTTGCGCCCTGTGGAGGTGATGGGTCGCCGCAGCTACGCGATGGCTGTGCTTGGGCGCATGCCCGAGGTACTTTTCTCTTCGCCATCCTTTATTTTCGTTCATTCACGCACCGCTTGATGGGTCATCCATCAGGCAGCGAGAAATGACAGTGCGCCGAGGACGGCGTGGGAAGCCTTTTAGGATTAGTCTCAGCATCGAAAGGGACTCCCATTTATGCCACTCGCACATCAGGTGCTCAGAAACTGCGATTCTTCCTGGCACGTGGCCTCGACGCGTTCGATTCTCGTGGAATTTATATTCAATTTCTGTGCTCATTATTCTGTTTGATTCTATATTTTTAGTTCGCTGTATTGCTCGGAATGCCTATCCTGTATTTAAATTGTTGAAAAGGGTGTTGGTCATACTGTTTCTGGGAAGTGCATAGAACTATATTGTGAGTGTTCTGTTGAGTACAACCGATTCTGTTGACAACAGTGGAAAGCGCCAAATTAGGCAAAGGCTTCATAACTCCAACATCGACCAATAATATAATCTGCCTTGCGACTCCATTAAGGAATTCAGCAATACAAACTACCGATTATGGATTCGTCATTCAAAATTATCTGTTAGCAATTTCATCCACTCTCGTTCATGAGCAATCACACTCAGCCATGCATTGCATGATGAATTGTCAATTCAACGCCACGCCGACAATGCCCCTCCCGCTCTTGGTCCGGCAGCCTCCGCTCCATCCCCCACCCTCCACACGGCCCATTGGATATAGCCATGGGCACTATCGATGCACATAATCCAGATGCAGGTGCAGATGCATATGCAGATACAGGTACAGATACAGATACACAGATCCAGATGCAGATGCAGATACAGATACAGATGCAGATACAGATACAGATGCAGATACAGATACAGATGCAGATACAAGTAGAGATTCAGATACGGATAGAGATACAGATGCATACGACAATGTACACTATTGATACAACGATGTGCCAACATGCAATCCATTGGCCGCTCCACAGCCCGTCACCTGAAAGACGTGCGGCAGCGAGACGATGTGCCTCCCCGCCCCCACGTCCCCCACCGACCGGGAGGAGGCCAGCCCGCCCGGCCAGACCCTCAGGGCCCCGGGGCCCCCCTCCCGCTCCCCCCCGGGCGGCCGCTGCGACGCCTGGGGCGCCAGCAGCACGCCGGCCTCCGCCAACCGCCGGCGCTCCGCGCCGTTTCGATCCAGGCTGTGGCTGACGGTGGCCAGGAGGGACTCCGAGCCTGTGTCCAGGACGGCCTCGGAGTCGCCCAAGTTGGCCACGGTGAGCAGGCGGCCGCAAATCAGGGCCATTGTGACGGTCGTTCCTGCGGGGCGCGGCATGCAGTCAGTGTCGACAAATTCTGAGGAAAATGTGGTACCATCAAGGAGCGCAAAGTGCTGGAGTTTTATGCCGTTCTCCCCAGAAGGATGATGGTTACAATCGGCGCCCTTGCCAGATTTTATTTTACTGTGAGGACAAAAAAAAGTAATGAGCGATGGCGTGGTGCACAGCAGTTTTGTGGTGGAAAATGGACATTGTTAACATGGTGTGAAGCAACGGATGAAAATGCACATGGGACAATGGAGACACGGAACGAGAGCGCCTGCAGTGTGTGCCATTTGGCTAGTAAACTCAAACTGTAGTCTATCTTGCTGCGGCTGGCATCGCGTGCCTAGGAGTGCGCGAGGCATGGCTTTTGCCATATTATGTAGTACTAGCAATTGATCCAATTAAGGAATCCATATCCACTGATCAGCGGAGGGTGCAGCCTGGCCCAAAGACACAGAGTACTGGCGTCGGCAGTTACTGAATGGAGTGCGGTATTAGAGGAGTGGCCGCTGCGTGGATGCTTTGTCCGACGGCACCGCGTACACACAATTACATGAAATGCTTCAGTAGGCATAGCAAACAATAGGATCTAAGGTCCTCAGACCATAGCCATTGCTGGCGCCAAAACTACTGTATCCTGGATGCAGTAATTGCAGCAATGGAAATCACATTGGCAAGCCACTTGAATGCAAGCTGGGGCTGTGCATGTGCATCCCGTGCCCTGCAAAGCGCAGCTGCAGCAGTGCACTTGAAAAAATAAAATGAAAAGCAACAAAATGAACAATGTTTTTTTCTTGTGAAGTTAAATGAAACCGAAGGGACCTGGCACTGGCGCTTTTGCGTTGGCAAACAGTTGATGTTTGTGGACACAGATGTCGATTATCCATGTCAACTACATATAGAATAAACCACTTAATGTCGTTGAATAAAGTATTGTATGTCTGTGCACCTGCGTATTGTATATCTATCCCATAATGTTGAATGATATATTGAGCATTTGTGCCAACAAGCACCAGGCTTGGTTTTTACATCGTAAAAACTGATGTATTTGCGTTTTTACACGTAAAATTAGTTTTTTACGTTTTTACGTGTAGAAATGAATAAAAACACGTGATTACAACGTAAAAACTGCCTCGTGTACATAAGGACAGTACATACAGACTTACGCAGTCCTGAGAGTGGCAGCCGGACGCCCTGGAAAGAGTAGAAAACAAGTTTTTGTTAAACGCCATCATTCGCCCTTGCCAAAGGCGAGGTGGACATTGTGCTGCGGGTGCTGGAGATGGCGCAGGACTGATCATTGTACGTAACTTTCATCGTGTAACCTTGGTGTCCCAGGAGCCGCAAAAACGTAAAAATGGCCTTAAAAATAGGGCTTTTATGTTTTTACGTGTAAAAAAGTAAAAGTAAAAAGTAAACGTAAACGCAAAACCCAAGCCTGACAAGCACCCTCTATTCACCGCTCCAAATTGGGCGGCGCTGAGAGAACAACAGAATTAGGGCTTGCGCCGTGCCTACAGTGGACCCCAGCAAAATTTGCGAAACGCACCAGAGGGGGCGGAGGTTGACAGAGATGTGAGGGAGAACTGCTCTCCGATCTCGGCAAATGCATCGATGACCGCGGCGCTGACTTTCTCAGCAAATTTGCCAAAATCTGCGGCATCGTCAGGCGGCACCCAGTCATGCACAACTCAAATGAAGCATCCTGTGCTTTGTAATCTGTAATGCACAAACAGTACGTGGCAAAGTCTAGAGCTTCGCGTGTTGATGAAATATGGCGCAGAAACCTGCTCTTAATGTGGTCAGCACAATGTGATGTGTGCGCGTATGAATACGCACATCATTGGTCACTGTTGACACCATAGTGAGGTACCAACAACATCAAAGTTGGAACATGGCCCCCGCACAGCAATGATAATCGTCAATGCAATAGTGCGACCACGCTGCTCATATGATTGACAGCAGCTTGACAGAATACATTCCATATGGAAACATCGGTTTATGCCGTCTATAGTGGCCATTCCCTTCAGCACAATAGAGACACCTAACGTATCGTGCATGCCTGATGTTTTGTGCTCACACTCCACATAAGAATAGATGCACGGTAAGCCCAAGCGCGCAGCCCAACATGCACCTCAAATCGCGCCATCTAAGCATTTGAAGCATTGATCCGTTGAGGTCCATCTTCTGCTGGTGGACGCAGCTTGGGCAGTGGGGAATTGTTCGGCATGCATCGGATGAATGCGGCCCAGCTGGTACTATCAAGTGGGCCGTTTTACAAATGACCAAGAATGCAATCGTTTCCACTGCAAGCGCGCCAGTGGCGACTGCCAGTGGCGTTAATCGCCGGGCTGCCAGAGAATTCGATCAGAGGTGCCAGGATCATGCACGACGTCTTGCGCATGCTGCTCGAGACTCCGGTCAGGCGACAATTCCAAATCGTCCGCGGCAGGGAACCCAACGCCTATGAACCGACCGGCTCGTTTGCCACCTTCTCGCGACTGAATTATCGCATAGCAGCTGCGGCAGCAGCAGTGGCGGATCACGTGCCGGAAAGTTGCTTGCTGTGCCACACGGTTTCCGATACAGGTCACGAACACGGAGACGGCGGCGGAGACAGAGCACGGCCAGGCTGGGTTTTGGGGCTTCAGGGTTTTAGGGCACATATCAAGGCACACATGCACAGGTTCTCCACGTGTGTGGCCCCTAACGGGAACGGCCTCCGCAGCGCAGAATAGGCTTCACTTCGGCGCCGTCTTCGGACGACCCCCACACGCAAAACTTTGACGCGGTCCGTCAAAAGGGCGCCGTCTGGGCTGGCGCGCTGGCGGTGGCGCCAGGACGCCTCGTGCTGATTGGGCCGTGACCGACTCGACTCGCTTGATGCGTCGCGGGCGCTGACGGAGAACCTGACCACTCCCTTCAAACCCCCGCGCAGGTCGACCCACCCCATCGGCCCTGCCATCCACGGGGCTTCAACCCCGCAGACCGACGGCCCCGCCCGCGGCCATCAATCAGCCGCCGACCAATGGATGCCCAGGGCCAAGGAGCACCGGAAGCTTGAGAGCGCCCCCCGCCGGGCAACCCCGGAAACTTGAGTGTGCGCCGGGCGACGAATACAGGCATCACACGTCGAAAGCAGCAATCCACGTCCCGTGCCACACACGCCCATTCCAGTCCGCCAAACATGCCCCCAGTCATCAGACGCGGGTGCCATAACGCGGCGCCCGCACGACAGGCCGTCACTGTCACCTTCTCTCTCGCAGCTCGGCGGGCAGCTCCGCGGCAGCAGGGGCCCCAGCACGCTCCACAGGTGGCGCCTGACAAACTTGGCGGCGCCGGAGCCGGCGTGGCCGTCGCAGACACAGAACAGGTCCCAGACGGGGCCGCCCTCGCAGCGGCACGCGCCCTCACGGGCGAAAGCCACGTCCTGCGCGTCCCAGCCACACCGCCTTTCAGAACCAGCCGCCAGGACGAGCCCCGGGGCGCGATCCCCTTCCCCGACATCGCTTCGCGGTTCTGAGGGCCCGGCGCGGCCGGCATCCACCTTTCGGCGCCAATCTCAACGTGTCGGCTCCGCCAATTGAAAATCATCGACACAGACGCCCCACCGGCGCTGCCCGCCTCCCCTCCACCGCGACTGCCGCGCAGCCACCCCCACCGGCCCCCTTCCCCCACCTCCCCCCCCGGGGCAACTCGTTCTTCCACAAGAAGAAGCGATTGGCGCACATCCACCCCCCCGAGTACTTTGAGAAGAACCACAGTTTAGGGGCCGTGCCGTTCTCACCTCGCCCCTCACTCGCCTCTGGCTGGTCGAAGACGACACCGCGGCGCCGGTGCTCCCCCTGCCGGTAGCCACCTTCGAAGGTCTCCCGATCGGCCCTCGGGATCGATGGATCGACTCGCCGCTGGCGCGAGCACGCCCAGGCTGTCCAGTCATGGCCCGGCGGCCCCTGACCGCATGCCAGACACGAGGCTAAAGTTCTGCCCGGCTGCCCCCTTTCCCTTACAAGGCGAGCCTGTTTCGATCCGGAACGGCTCTCGCGGATGTCGGAATGGAACCCAGGCTTGGGTTGGCCAGTGCGTTGAGCTGCAGAGGGGGGGAGACTCACCCGCGGGCTGGCCGTCGAGTTTTAGTCACGGCGGTTGATGGACTTGATCGTGCCGCCTGGGCGAGAGCGCCAAGCCAAAGGGACCAGAGGACCTGCGTACGGGGTCCGAACAACTGCCGCCCAGCCGTGGGGATCCCAGCAGCGGTTTGAGGGGAGCGAGGAAGGCCGCTCTGCCAACACGGGAAGACGAGGTCCCTGACGTTCCTGCAGCCGTGGCCGAGTCGCGTTGTCGTGGCTGTGTCGCCCCGATGTGGTGCCCGAGGTGGCGCCATGATCCAGGTACTTCAACTACTGTGAAGTAAACGCACTGAGTACTGTAGTGCGCACTGCCGCGTACTGCGGCGTACTATTGTGTGCCGTTGTGCACCGCTGCGCACTTTTTTCCATCGAGACTGTGCGCCGAGCCGGTGTATAAAAATGACCCTATGCCGTACGACGTAATGCACCCTACGCTGGTGCGATACAGATCTAAGAAAAAGCTCGCTTGTGTGGCGGTAACCCCACTTACCTTAGCCGCCAAACGGATGCAGACCAGGCCTGTCCTGCTGCAGAGCCGCAATTGCCGGACCAGCCCCCACAACGTGCTGGTGGGCACCAAATGCGGTCCCAATCGTTGGGAAACACCGCAGTCGCCTTCTTCCCCGCAGGCGAAACGGGATGCGGCACAGAGACACACACACTGTCCGCGGACAGTTCGGAATCAGAGTCACAAAGGCAGCAGCGATGGTGGGCCCAGAAAGAAGTGTTGTTACAAGAATGTTCTGCGCGTATTTATACTCGAAAAAGGGTGTCCCAGTCCCCAGTCCTAGCCACCGTTCGAGAAGCCTCCCGAGCTGCAATCCCCGTACAGACCCCCCTGATCTTGTCCACAAACGCCTCAAGTTCTCCGGTCCCCAGCCGGTCAACACCGGTCCCCAGCCTGGTACAGCCCATCACACACTCCATACAACCGGCTCAATTTAGTCCCCAGCAAGTGATTCCAGTCCCATGCAATCATGCTCAGTTCTAAGTACGTCCCTCCATGATGATCCAGTACTCAAATCAATCATATCAGCAAAACACGATGAAGTCGTAATACCCGCTGGTACATTCCTTAGTTCCAGCCTTGACACTCCATCAAAACCAACGTACACAACTAAAATGGCTCACTGATGATGAATTCCCGGCTCAGTTCTCCACTCCCGGCTCAGGGCTCCATTCCCGGCTCAGTTTCATGTAAGGGGGTCGTACATGGGGGCTTGTGGCAAGGGCAGGTCTCTTCAGGTGGACTCCTGGACAATGCAATGGAACAGGACAATTAGTACGCCTTTAATTCACTAATTCTGGGCTGTGCTCAGCAACTCAAACAAGGTTGCCGCAAATCAGATCAACCAATCAAATAACTAACAATACACCAACTCAAACTGGTCATCTCAGTAGGGGTACTTAGAAAATCGCCCCACTTGCTTAGGAATTCAAAGGTTGATGGCTGTGTGAGATGCGTTGGGTGGAACGGCACATGTGCACGTTTCCCGGATGTACAGAGTGTAGTTTTGGCGATGGCTGTGTGGGTGTGTGCTGGGTGGACTGGAAGGTGTGCCCATGTGTAGGGGGTGGTGTGTGTGTGTGTTGCGGGTTGGGGTGGGGGTTTGCAAAAAAATTGCTACCCTTCGACCAGCAGCGCGTTGCGAGGGGGGCCGGCAAAGTGGCTGTGTGCACCACGGTGGTGACCGTGTCAGGTTGTTTGGGGAACTTACTTTTATACTTCCAAATTCTCCAATTCTTTCAACGTGTGGGCCAGGTGCTGCACTGGGCTGGTGTCCCCATATCATAACACGTGGCTGGTACTGTGTTGCTGCCGTGGGGTGATGTGTCGTGTAAATTTGGCACACCGCAATGCAGCATTGCTCATGTGCTTTGGCGCCACGGCCTGAACGCAACACAACTCAATGCTATTGTGCCATGTCCTTACGGAGTTGTGGGTGTCCCTACATGCTCGGGACAGGGTAGTGCAGGGCACCTGCAGTGTAAGGCACAGAAAACGGGTGAGCCTTTGCTATCAAGTGGGCGGGTAGAAGCCACGTTTTGCAATGAAAGAACACACTCTTGGGAGCCTTGAATCGCTGGTTGAGCAAGGGCCTGACCCGCGGCAAGTCACTAGGAAAGAACAGGCCAGATGACACAGTCCTGGCACGGTCTGCTCAAAGTCCAACCGTGTACTTTCGGCAAATGTGGTCCCAAAAGTACACAGTTAGTACACACATTGACACAGTTTCAACCGTGTACCCTCAAACAACTGTGTGGACTACACGGTTTCCTAGGATGCACGGTTGAAACTGTGTCAATGTGTGTACTAACTGTGTACTTTTGAGACCACATTTGCCGAAAGTACACGGTTGGGTTACGAGCAGACCGTGTCAGGACTGTGTCATCTGGCCTGTTTTTCCCTAGTGAGTGTTGGAGGCAGTACAGAAATGATGGGGACCGAAAATTGGGCGCTTGATGCTCACCGCAATTTCAATGGCTTGATCCCCTGATTACGAGATACGCAGTTGATTGCAGCATGTGCGCCTAAGGGCTGTTCGCTAAATCACGGACGTGAAAATCTGAGCATCACTTCTAGGCTGACGCTTGTGCCATGCTGCCATGCGGGATAGTCGTGTGTGTGTGTGTGTGTGTGTGGGGGTTGGGGAGGTGAGAGAGTTTGGGCGCTGCTTTGGTGATCAACAGGTTGACTCCCTCACCAAGTTATGGTAACGGACGATTTGTATATTGCACCTGAGCACAGGTGCGACGAGGAGATCGCTTGTACAAGGGATAGCAACTGTTGGCCAGCTGTCCGGCAGTAAAGCCACCCACCGAATCCCCCCTTCGTTCCCGAGATTCACGAAAGTTGGCTCCGTTGTTGTGAAAGAAATTTGATCCAGTTCATTGTCGCCATTTGACGGCGCTGGTCGGAATTGGATGCGCATGCTGTGGTCTCTGGCGCTGCTGGGTCTGTCGCGGGTGCGCCAGTGGGGACGCCTTTTGGAAGGTGGCGGCCTGTTAACGAGCTGGAGGCGGCGGAGTTGCAGACAGATCTCAGACAACGACGTGCGTATGCTGCCAGCAGGTCAATGCATGCATCCGGTTACATTGCACGTAATTGCAACGTCACGCGGATATTAAAACCCACGTGATGACAGGGTCACGAGAAAACAAGGTCGATTGATAGTAAGCTAGCGTGGTTATGAGCACCACGTGACAATGAAGGTCGCGGCAACGCGCCGTTGGATGCTGTTAAGCTTACCTGGCACAATGAATCCAATCAACTTCATCCACGCCGCTGTACAGTAGATTAGATAGTACATATTAGATAGATACATAGTAGTATAGATTAGATAGCACATTAGATTACAATTGGCTTCCTGTTGCTGCAGATTCACAGTGTGGGACGGCCCGAGCATGGCACCTTCGACATAGATAGGCTGGCAAATGTCAAGGGACGAGTATTATAACGTACACGACGCAACAATGCCAAGCAGCCAATCGCGGTGCCTTGTGCATGCCAACCAAGCTGTGAACGCCACGATTTGAGCGAAAGCCGGCGATGGGCGTTGGGGGCATATTGCAAGAACATTCTCTGGGTGCTTATAGGCAAAATGCCACAATCAGTGGTGCCAACACCGGGACATGACTGACAACGAGGATACTAAAGAAAGATATGAGAAAGTGGGTACAGTGGTCTGAAATCGAAAGATCATTTTCTGATGAGAAAATATCTGCCGGACAGAAAGATACCCTTTCGATGTATTTCGATGAAATTATGTACTTCTAGCTCAGAGGATTCTCTAGAGTCCTGGGGATGATGGTCGCGTGACGTTGGATGTGCGCGACAACAGTGGTGGACACGGAGAAAACTAATACTGCTATGAGGAATCAGTGCCCTTCTCCAAATCCAACCAAAACATTTTCACGGGGAGATGCCATAATACATTGGGCGATCCAGTGGTGGTGCGATAACATCAACGTTTTATGTAGGCTTTTCCACATACCCAACCTTCGGCACACGACAAAGAATGAAAAGTAGCGAAACGATTGAGATCCCATCAGAGATCCGAGAACGGGCTTGAGGACGAAACGCAAACTCTTCATGCTTGGGAAAGGGCTCGGGTTCTCCGTTGATATCTTAAGGACAGTCTGCGGAAAGCCGCACAGACATGAAGCGCACCGTCCAATTTCGCACCAGCCCTTGAAGGTTTAAACCTTCAAATTTGTTTTGCGTCTTGTCTCTGTCAATTTGCCTGTTGAAGACTGTGTCAGCACATTGTCCTGATGCTGCATGGTCCCCATCCTGGCAGCGCCGCGAGTCACGAGCCACACGCTCCATGCCACAGGTGCAGGCACCTTAGGCAGCTGGGAGGTGACGCTGTTCACTGCAGCCTCGTGCCCGATCCCCTCGCCGTACGGCGACCCAAAGAACGTGCGTCGCCAGTGTGGCATGAGGATTCTCTTGCCACATCTATTGGTCCCGCTTCAAAGCGGGTTTAACTCCATTGCCGTACCGACAAGACACGCGCCGGACCTGTCAATGCCGAAGTCATCAAAACACACAACACATGAAAAATGCTGGTCGAGCAAGACAGCCTGATGGTGCAGCGCGCTGGGGCCCCAGTTCGGCATCGGTCGCGACGGAGTCTTGCTCCCCTTGTTTGCTGCATTTCCCCACAGTCTGGCCCCCAGGCAGTTGACATTTTCGCGATGAGCCATGGCCCGCAGCCAATGTTCAAAATCACCCGCGGCAGATGGAAAATATCTGACATGCAAGCGAAGGGGATGTTGCGGTTGGTAACGCTCTCATTTTCGGGGGGGAAGGAGCGGAGAAGCGTGGTTGATGGACGTGATTTGCATATGTTATTCCACTGCGGAAATTCTATCTTGGGGTGCAAAACTGATGGCAAGCGGTGAGAGCAGCCATGAGCTTGAGACCACCGGCGGGCCGAAGGTTCTGTCACAAATTGGTAGGACAAGTACTGCAAAAGTGGTACGCTTGCCACGGAAGGCATCACGTGGGTCTCTATACGCAAGCATGACGACAACATGCTTCGATAATCATATCCACAGCATCTCTGCCACAATGGCGATGTGGCAAAATAGGAAAGCATCGATACTTAAAGTATACATGCGTCGGTACAATCGGGCATTTCCAATCCATTTCCACTGTACACCCCAGAGCAAATAACCGACTGATAGAGACTCCAGCACAGTTCCCGTGAGCGCCAGAACGAAATAATCAATCAAAAGACCGGGCTATTGCCTGGCAAAAGCCCTCTCAAAAGAAGGTAAATGAATTCAAGCACCGAACTTTATCCCCATCCACAAAACGCCGCACTGATGCGATCGAATTTTCTAATGCAATCACTGGGTGCCTTCGAAAGCTCGGCAACACCACAAACAACACACTGACGCGCGCTTATGCACACCATGGTCGCAAAAAAGCACAAACCCCCGCACAAACCCCCCATCCCCGATCTGCTGCATTCTGATCTACAGTCTGTTGAAAACCTCCAACCCCCACCGGTGCATTGGACGGCCTTGTTGGCTGACTGTGACTGAACAACGATTTAACGACGGCCCGCCCATTGACAGAGCAGCGGTCAGAGCACACTCGTTTGCTTCGGATATCATGCGACTCATCCTTCAGTCTCACACGCCCCCAGTGGCGCATCTTTTCATGCACGACTGGCTGAATTCCAGCCAACCCCCTTCACCGGCCAGCATCAGTGCGGGCCCTCAAGGGAATGGTCCGTCCAAAATCGCCTCAACATTTTGGGCCAATCTGGTGGCATTCTTTATGGAGGCCGAACAGTGGTCGCATGGGTCCCTGCCGGCCGAGGCCTAGGCACAGCGAAGTGCCTCAGGCAATGCTCACCATGCTCGCAGTCCAACAAAACGCACTGCGTGCTTAATGTAGAAAAATATGCAACTTCTTTGCACCAGCCCCTTTCGGCCCTCCTGGCATTCTTTATGGACACTGAACAGGGCTCGCGAGAGCTCCTTCCAGTAGAGCCCCAGGCAACTGAAACGCCCAAGACAATTCCACCATGAGTGGAGTCTATGGGAACCCAATGTGAACTTGATATAGAAAAAGCAACGTCTCCAAACCCACATCCTTGGCCCTGCTTTCGCATCAAATGCCCCAAATGTATGGACTTGCTCCTTGAAGTCTTCTCTGAGGCGCAACAGTGTTACAGGCGGCATCGATTACTGTGTGTAGCTACCATCCTCTCCCCGCTCCCCTACATTTATGATCCCGGGTTATTCTTGCATTGAGTACCCCCCACTTTTCCGATACCAGTACATAATCCCATATCCCTAGCCTGGCCCACAACTCATTTTCAAATGCAACTTATGACACACTCAACACTCCCTTATGAGAATATACACTTTTCAGGGCACCCCAATCGTGTCCCCTGTGCTCCATACCCGCGGGGTAGTGGCTCACCAACTGGCGGTGTGGACCCCCACCCCCCCACTGGTCTCCGGACCCCAGGCGGACAAGGAGACTTCGTCGTCGGACACGCTGTCACTCTCCATGTCCACTCCCATGGGCCTCGGCTCCACGGACACTGGGTACATCTGCCCAGGCGGTTGCATGGGCACATGAAATTGGAGTGTGTGCTTGCTGGGCAAAGCCCCCCCAATGTACAACGGCTGTCCGTTGCCCTCCCCCTCGTCTGGCGTGGCCACCGCCAGGGTGCGCCTGCGGTTGTTGTACAGTATCCTCTCCTTCGCGTCCTCCCCCTCGTAGACTGGGCGCAACGCCAGGTGCACCTTGCGGTGCTGATACTGCAGGGCAGACCGTGGCGGCGTTATCTCAAAGGGGCCATCGTCCACCGGCGCCTTGCCACCCTTTGCGGTCAGGCAATCGAGGCTCGCAGCGTCTGAAGAACACCGGTAGCCTCCGTTACTTGAGGCCCGTCGCCTGACGGACCCCAACGACCACTGCCCCAGGGGCCCCGAGGCCCCCTCTCTGCCCTTCCCCGACCGCACTGGCGCCGTCGTTTTGGCCGATGCCCGAGAGGCGACCTTGAGGTCGACGGCCGACTCCTCCCGCTCGTCGATAGTCGCCCGCCGACCGGACAGCGTCCCGTCCCCTCCCCCCATCACCCGTGGAAACGCCTGAACGGATCTCACCCTCGCCAGTCTGCGCCTCTCCGCCGATAGGCCCGAATCGAGGGACGCCCTCTGGGCTGACAAGAAGGCCGGCGCCCACTGCCGCAGGTTAGCGCCGGGCTCCTCCTCCTCCTCCTCCAGGGCAGGTTCGCAGTCGATTCCCGACAAGCTGGAGCAACTGTCGCTCCTGGGCAGCTTCACCAACTCCCAGCCGTCCATGTTGGCCACCAAGTCAATGCTGTCACCATCCGGGGTGGCAACATGAGCACCAGCCCCCACCCTGTGCTTTAAATGGGTCGCCAGGCACCGCGCGAAGGCCCACCGTCCCTTGGCGGAGTTGCCCCCCGCCAGCCTCTTGACCCTGTCCTTGACCACCTTGGGGAAATCGGCGCAGCCCGGCGGCAGGATGTCCAGGACGACCGCGCTGACGTCGTCCGTGATCGGTCCCTCGCGGCACAGCACCGCCTGCGAGACCAGGCGGCTGGCGGCGGACGCGCAGGCTACCCGCCGAATGCCGTGCACCGCGTCGCGCCAGTCGACGAGGTCCCATAGGCCGTCGGTGCCCATGACGAGACGAGCGCCGCCCTTGGGGACGAGTGCCTGAGAGCAGGGTGGGAGCGTCGGGTGAGTCGCCGGCTGGCGAACGGCTCAGCGAATTGGTGGCTTGCTGAGGGCCTATTTTCTGACTCAATTTCCAATGTTGATTTTGTAATCAAGTTTTTGTTCCATTCTATTTTTGTGATCTGTTCTGCTGTTTCGAATGATCCTAAAAATTGACTTTTTCGATGCAGTGTTGTTCATGCAGAAAGCGTGACATAGCGCTGCCGCTGCAGACAACAGAACGGCACTGCAGTCTCACTGTTGAAACTTCTTTTTGGTGTGGGTGACGGGTTATTTTGACACCCAACAGCTTCAACTAAAGAAAACTGTTATTGTATTAAAGATTGCACAGTGAACAAAGTGCTGCAGCAACAACCGCGTGCCGACTTTGCACCTTCAGGCGCCGCTCTCACGCCCACCAGACCGGCGTATGGCTCCAGGTAGGAGCTTGAGATTTGGTCTGTGTCGTTGTTCATTGACGAAAGACCATCAGGACCGCCACGCCAACAAACTCTTCGGTTGGTTGCCTTTGGTTCAGCTAATGGAACCAAAATTGAGCGGGGAACAGAAAGCCCTGACTTGGACCCATAAGGGCCCATCCCCGCCTTTGCAAACCCCTCAGCTGCACGTTCGAGGCTTCGCTTGCCTCGCGCTCTTCACAACGCACCCAACCCAGTTAGACTCACGTATTTCACCGCACGGGCTTGACGGGCTCACCTGGAACAAGTGTGGGCACGAGGAAATGTGTTTACCGGCTTTGACGTCCCCGATGGACCTCGACACAGCCAGGCCCCCGGGCCAGCACCTCAGCGGGCCCACTCCCCGCTCTCCAGGCGCGATCACGCCCTTCAGGATCGACGAAAGGGGCACCAGTTGCACCTCCGCCGCCTTGAGCCTCTCGCGCTCGGCGTAGTTAGTCTGGATCCTGTCGTTGACTGTCACGAGCGTGGCTTCGGTGCCGGTGTCAAGGACGGCGTCGGAGTCGCCCACGTTGGCCACGGTGAGCAGGCGGCCGCACAGGAGGGCCAGCGTCACGGTCGCCCCTGGGGGTTAAAGTCTGTTTTAGTCCACGACTGAGGCGCGATGCGAACTAGGTATACGATTCACTGGTCCAATGGAGAGCCCCGAGGCGAATGGTGGAGTGAATTCTGAATCGACAGAGACTGTCCCAGCTCAATGTGATTATTTCCGGTGGTCGATGCTCAATGAATCGATGAAGGAAACTAACGAATGCATCAATGCCAATTCACTAAAAGCCACTGCATTGTCGGTCAATTAGTGTCGGATGCATTCGTGTAGTACATTCGCCAAGCTGTCAGCGATGGTGGCAGGTGCTTGGACCCGGCGTGGGGTATGTCTGCCTCTCAGCTGAGCGCACTGTTCTGGGCTGCCAGAAGTGCAAAAAGCACTGATATAGATGTATCGACACATCTGCATGCAGGTATACAAGGACCCACACGCCTGGCACCACAGCCATGAGCGTACAGAATACACCATTCTCTTGGAACATGATTTTGTCGTTGGTGTTTCGTCAGAGCTGCACTGGCCTCCTTTCAGCAAAAATGTCCACACCAGAGTATTTGATTGACATAAGAACCCACGCTCTGCTCGCCGCAGTTGCATTCGATACGTTCAGCTCACCAGATGCGTCGCTGGGGAATTCCTTCGCAAAGTCCTCCCCCAATTTGACGAAAGCGTTGGCAACGGCGATCCTTAGAGCGAGAGCAAAGGGGCCGTAATCTGCACAGCAGCGCACTGCCATCATATTAAAAACTTGCAATTGGAAAAGAGGTACACGTCCAGCGCAGGCACAAACCTTACTACATGCACTGAGTTTGCCCATTTCTATATGCCCCTCCGGGAACTGGCTTTCCTTTCTTGCAACGCAGAAGGCCATTCATGAGCCAATCCTGACGTTCAAGGGCGACGCGAAGTTGCGCCGCCCTTGGCCGCCCGTTTCAGCCTCGCTGGAGAGCGCACATCCCCCCCTGGCTTCAATCAATCTCGGAGGCAGTGCCTCATCTGCACGAGATGAGGGTCCATTTCTGCACCGGCATCGAACCACGGCTGCTCTCCCGCCCACCCCCGTCCCCGCTCCATATTTTCGCGATCTGCATGACGTCACGCCTCTGAAACGTACACTTGGCCAAATGAACACCGCCTGGTCTCAACACTGCACGAGAGCGGGCTTCCCGACAGGACCCTTTCTACAATCCAATACGGGATGGCCGCCTGCCGCGACGTCGGAACGATCCCAGAGCGGGTGCGCGAATGAACGGCCCCATGACTTCCCGCTGTGCGGATGCGTAGAGTCCAGCTCATTGCGCAGCGCCCGCCGGGCCCGCCATGGCCCTCCCGTCCCTCAGTCACCTTCCCCACGGCAGTCCGTCAACCGTACAATCAACCAAACGTCGCACAGGAGCACGGGGAGATGGGAACCACCCTGGCTGGCGGGCGGCGCACAGTCACGATGAGCAGTGGCGCCCCAGAATCACACGAGCCCCTTGCTGGGCAACACGCCACTCCACCCCAACGCCGCTGCGCAATCCCCTGCTGTCCCCGGCTGCCTTGCCACGGTCCACGGGGCCGCCGTACTTTGGGGCCCATGGGTACCGCAGCCCAGAAGCGTCTTAGGTTCCTGGCCGGACAACGCCCTGCTGCCCCCCCTTCTCTCCCCCCCCTCCCCCGCACACACCGGGGTTGCTCAGCGCTCTTCGGCCGGCACCCACCTTCGCCAACGCCATCCGGCATGCATCCCTTGGGGAGCAGTGGCGCCAGGACTGCCCACAGATTGGCCTCCACGTATTGGGCCGCAGCACCGCCCATGTGGCCATCACACACGCAGTACATCGACCACGGCGGGCCGTCCCGCTCGGGGGTCAGGCCCTCGAGGGCGAAGATCAGGTCCTGCGGGATCCACCAACCACCAGAAATGTCAGAAAAACGGGCAAGGGGTGATTGGGGATGGCACCTTGTGCCCCTTGCGCCCACCGGAACCCCCACGCCACCCACAAACGCCCCGCATGTCGACAGGTCACTTCAATTCATTGAATCAGCCAGGTCCCTGGGAGCGCCATTGTCAGGGCCCAGCGTCGCGAGGCGCTCCCTTGGACAGCGCGCAGCAGTGAACTGAAGCGTCGTGCGACGCTGCGCCCAGCGCAATGGGTGCTGACGTCGGTGAATGCAGGCCAAGGCCCACGGCCTGGTCAGTGACCATGTCTGGCGAGCGCCGCGACTCGCCCACGTCGCCTCGGGCCCTCCCTTGGCCGCACCGACGCACGGACCGCGCTCACCAACGCCCGCCGCGTGGATGATCTGCCCAAAGCGATTGGCGCACTTCCCCTTGGGCCCGTTAAAGCCCCGACAGGCCACTGCAACTGAATGGCCACCGCAGCGCACAAGTTCTAAGGCAGGGGGACGCGATTGGTGGCTGCCAACGTTTGCCCGCGCAAGAGCCCGGTGGTGCGTGGTCACGCACGAGGCGGCTGCCGACAGGCGATTGGCCCGCAGGAATGTCACTCAGTGGACTCGTACGACGGCAAGGGGAAATTTGTCTCGCCTACCTCGTTGCTCACGCGCCTCTGGCATCTGGAATGCCTGAGGTAGTGGGGCCCCATGGGGACTCCATGAGGCTTGCTTGAAGGCGAGCGAGGCGTGGGTTGCCCCGGCGTGCTGCCGTCGTTGGACCCTCCACCGCCCGCGGTGGGGCGTGCCATGAATACGGCCGCCCTGCCGATCAGCAACCCACAAGATTTAGAGCCGGTTTTTGCGCGTAAGGGATCCTGAGCAGCCTTGGCGGCAAACAGGGTGGGGTAGGGTGTGGGGTGTGGGGTGCTTGTAGCACGGCCCGTCGGGCGGGGGGAGGAGTCATCAGGACGTGGTTGCATGGTTGCAAGCGTGCGCCAAGTTGGGCAAAGTACGCGACGATCCCCATGAGGGCGGAGCAACGTTGGGAGTGTCTGCTCACCTTGTGGGGCGTCGCCAGGTCGGGAGGCCGCGGTTGGGCGCCGGGCGGCCGCCGGCGGTGCCGGGAACTTGACGAGCAGGAGCTCGCCTTGTGCCTCGCCTCGCGACCGGGCTGGGCGTGGTGCTCCCTCATTATAGGGGCCCCGGGCCCAAGGGCGTGACTCATGCCCTGAATCGTATCCGGAGGGGCCGTCAATCAGGGCAGTGGCGGCGTGTACTGACTGCGGGGCCCGAAGTGTGACAACGGAGAGGTTAGGCGAGCGAGGTTGCCGGCATGTGAGGATCGGCCGAGCGAGGAGAATCCGACTCAAGGGAATTCCTCCCCGCGGGCCGCGAATGGGCGGACGGGGAAGGCTGGCCCGTAAATCGAACGCCGCGAGGAGATGGACGTACCCAGGGGGGAGTTGTCGAACGGGCGACTGTGTGTCGGACTTGTGCAAAATTTATCTTATGGGGTGTCTGTACAGCATTTGCGCGGCGCCCTGGGTCTCCTCGGTGTGGGGTGGGCGGCGTTGGAGGGGGGTGGCCGTTGCCGCTGTTCACCGGCACCCTTAGGGCTGATGAAAGAATCGCCTCAAATTTTCTCAAAGGAGGGTGTACCGCCGCACGTGCCTGTGACGTGGGTCCGCCCGTCGTGCGAACGCCGAAGTCAATTACACGTACAGTCATTTTACTGACCGCCCCTGTGTCCTGAGTAGTCAGCGCGACCTGGACTTGGAAACCAGGTTCTCAAGAAGGCCGGCTGCGGCACAGAGAGTGGGAGTGCTTGTCGCTGAGACACAGCACGCATACAACATACTCACCCATAACCGCCAAACAGTTAGGTGTAAGTAACAAATTGCTGAACAAGAACACGCCAAAATTGTGTGTGTGTTGTCGTTGAGCACGGGGCAGGAGAGCACGCTGATTGCATGGCAAAGCCTTGCACTAGTGCCGTTTCTGGGTGGCTTGGGTGACGTATTGTGGGTAGATGCCAACGTGCCTATAGGCATGAAGGGGAAAGCGCAAAGGTAGGTGGCTGCCGATGTTCTGTCCGGGATGGGCACCAAGCAGCCAGCCAAACCCGTTGTTCTGGCACAGAGAAGCTGTCTTTGGGGGCTTTGCGTCACTGCGTCCCTGCCGACGCTGGGTGCGGAGGAGAGGGCGCAGCGAATCCAATAAATGACGCGCACATGTACGTGGCCTTGTACGCAAATAAGCACGATTTAAATGTGCGATAACAAAGAATGATGTCAATGTGGGAAGCCTAACAAGCGAAGTCACAAGTAGAGCACTTCATTTCGGCGGACGCAATAGCCTCTGATGGCTTAAAGTCAGTTTTATTGTGGTGGTGATTTTCGGGAAAGCGAAGTATATTTGTCATACGTTCTGCGGACGTTGGCAAAGCCCTCGACACTAGGACACAACTCTGCTGGGAAAGTTTATTGACAGGGTACAGGAAAAAGATATAGAAATGTCCCCTTTGGATAACAGACATTCAGCAAGCACCATTTTTGCTCTGAGGCAGAGACTCCCTGCAGTCGCGGCAGCCAAGCAGCTCCGCACTCGACGCCTTCAGGCCTCCAAGGCGGCATCCATGGGCGATTGCGCCCCTTACTGAAGTGTGCCAGAAAAGTGCGGCGTCTTTCCACCCTTGTCGAGGCCCCCTCCGATTCCGATGCTAAAAAGACCCTCCGACATGGCGGCCATGGCGGCGGTACAGGGCCCAGTGCGCCCTGTCGACATGGCCGGTTGCGCACCGCGGTGTGGAGGCTACAATCGTAACAATTCCCGACCGCTAATGGACAAGGCAGCTGTGTGGCATTTTGACCAGCTTGATAAGCGGGCCCCCGCCGCTGCCGCCACTACGTTGACACTGAACAGCGTGCAAGCACGCCACACTTTCCTTGCATGCTTGGCTGTAATGCTCAGGTTGGGGCACACTAATGTGGCCATAAGTACGTGTGGCTCCGCGGCGCTGTTCCGAGGAGAATGAAATGCTTGACCAGGCTCCGTGAAGTTTGGGCTTCAAAGGCGCCCGACTCTCCAAGGGCGGTGTTCTCATATAGCCTGATGGATGCCCATTTTACGCACCAGAGCATCCATCACTCACGAAGGCCATGAGCGATGGGTGTTTTGGTGAATAAGATGTGCACTCCCGAGGGTCACCCTTGGCGCCACCGAGGCATTCATGCAGTACGCGCCAAAACATGTCCTCAGCTCCGGTGCCTCTGAGATCGGAGAGACTCCCCACGTTCAAAATGCTGCCCCTCTTGAGGTGCACCTGAAGTGAACCCTTTGTAAGCTGGTCATCAGCCAGCAAATGCAGCCCAAATGTTGCCATCATTTGAACCATTTTTAAGAAGGTGCACCGTCGGTGGTGTGGGCAACGGCGCGATGCCGGTGCGCACCAGAAATCGATGGCCTCCACAATGCACCGTCCATAAGAATCAGTTATTCTTATCCCACAGTAGCATCGATTCTGGAAAGCCCATTTCAGATGGGCGTGTGCCGTGTAGCCAACGGGTGGCAGCACTGGCGCATTCAGTTTTTTCGTCAATTTGAGTAAGACCCGCGCAGCCTAGCGTCAGTTGGAGAACACTTCCAGAGATAGAATTTAGTGGCACTTTCCTGCAGCGACTTATCTCGAAATGCTTCACAGTTCCTGTTCACGAAAACGCGGGTAGGTCGTGTGTTCCAAGCGACTATTTTGCTTGGCTGTTGTTGCTGTGCCAATACTAGCCTGAATTAACCTTAACCGCTCGATTTGTGTTACTATTGCAGCTGTGCATCTCAGCTCACTTTCATTGATTTTTTTATTGTATTTTCACGTACAGCTTTGAAAGAAACAAGTCACAGGATGAGTGCGTGCACGCACTAAAAAACGTAATAGGGCTGATTTCTGTTCATACTGTAAAGTACAGCGCAGGCATCTCCGCGATGGAAACAGAACGCGACGGAGAGCAGTGCGAATGGTCATAAAACGTGCTCCACCCAGATTCTCGTCATGACTATGCAGCGAAACCCAGAATTTCAAGTGCGTTGCTTGTGCACAGTGCCTTGTCCACCACATCCAGAAGTCAGCCGGGGCTGGACAGAAATGGAACGAAGACTGCAAGACTGCAAGACAAGACAACACTAATGCAACGCAGAGAATGCAGCGCTGTTCGCATTGTGGACTTTGCGCATCAAACCCAAGCAAACGTTGACACCCAGAAATCTTGCGAGGTGAAGGCGGCGGAACCATCTTCAGCGCCGCCTCCTCATCGCCGTGTGCGTAGTTCCGTTAATCAGCACATCGGGTAAATGTCCAAACGGTGCCCAAGCCGAATGCTGGCTCAGCGCCCCCCTTGCCATCCGCCACCCGGGCACCCTCCGCGAGAGCAATCACTTGCCGGCGACTTTCTGGGCGGGCAGCTTCCAGGCGAGGCCCAAGCTCGGAACCAGCGGGGCGCTGCGCCACCGCCGCCGCTCTCTGGCGGAGAACGGCTGCTCAAAAGGCCCTTCGGTACGCTGACAAGGACGGATGTTCCCATGGCTGCCTTCTGGGTAGCGTCGAATTCTGCAATGGCCATTGGCAAACAAGCGGTTGTCGTGCTTGGGCACTCCTACCGCGTCGAAAAAGGAACGCGATTCTCCCAGGGCGCTGTTGCTGTATTCCCGACATTGGGTAGCGCCAACAACAACGCGGCGAGCGCGAAAGGCGTGTGCAGATTGCCGTCTTGGCGGAAAGGAAACGTTTCACGCGATGGGCGGGGCCCCCCGCTTATCAGGAGTTTGGAGGGGCGCCCTTCTGCCGCGGCAGATGGTGCAGAAGACCTTGAGGGCACAGGAATGGGTTGAGGCTAGCAAAGTTTACGTGAGCGAAACAACGTTAAGATTGGGGCACAGACAACGCTGGCAATGGGCGGGGCCAAATCATTGCGTGGGACGTTGTTGCCCAATCGGCATCCGTGAGTTGAGGCCTTCCGGACTACCGCCATCGGGAAACCCTTTGGATGGGCTGGCGCATTCGTACTCCTGCTCTTTCTGACATTCCCGTTCCGTAGATGGGCAGATCAGCAGGCATCGTTTTCCGTACCTTGGCGCAAAGTCCCGTATTTGTTCTTCGCAAGGGAAGGTGTGTCCCGACCAAGCCTTGTGGAGTTGCGACAAGAAACCACTGAACGAAAGGGTGGTCTGGCATGGGGCCAATCTCCGACACCACTCAGGTCAATTGACACGCGCGACACTCAATCTGCGCCAGGAGGCGTCTGTGCCGTCTTGCACTGTCCGTGAAAGAGTCCCACAAGAATTTTTGCTACAGGCAGACAGTTTACTTCGTCATGTTTCTGTTCTGCTGCCGTGACCATAGGGACCATAGTGTCATTCTCCAAGTTGCATGCACTGGATACATTCATCCCTTTTGCTGCAAAAGGGCAATATTGTGTTGCGACTGGCCCATTTCCCGAGAAGCAGTCGACAGCCATTAACTGCGGTCTTTGTGGAAAAACTTTCCAGCCGATGCACACCAAAGCCTAGTGGGATTCCTCAGTGGGAGTGAAACAAGGGATGGATTCTGCGGCCTGTGTTTCTTTCCCTTAGAGAGGACTTTCTCAAGGGATGGACAACGAGCACCCTCAAAATGCCCTTTCCCTTGATGGACCTGCCGAACAGTGTTCACCTTTGAGCACACAACCCCCTTTGGAGACAACAGATACCATGCAGGGTGCAGCATCAGAGTCGGTGGGGCAGGGGCAAGAGGATGGCAGGAACCCAAAGCCTGCAAGACGAAGGGAGGTGGAAGGAGTGCCTAAGGGGGCCATATCGTTGTCAAGACTTGTTAACACGCTTGGACTTGGTAAGTATGACGCAGTGGGGCATTCTGTGTTGTGTGTTGCTCCTGGGCGAGCATGAACAATCTTCCGTAGTCTAAAGGATGGTCACAAAGGTTGAGAAGCGTGGTGTCCACTGCACAGTATGTCATGTCGAAAGCCACTCGTTGGTATGCAGCGCACAACAGATGAGGGCACTGCACTCCACAGGAAGGGTATGACTGGGAGATGCTGCACCTCACTACAGACGTTGTTTGGGCTCCTGCAAGCACATGGCAAAGAAAAGCAAAGCACCATACGTTCGGTATGCAGTGACAAGGGTTTGCAAACCTCCGGTATCATGTTTTGGCCAGAGGTGCTTCAGCAGGTCAGAGGTCAAATCCCACTTTGGAAGGCAGCTGTCACCGCATAAAAACTTGTGCCATGTGTCTTCACAGCTGTTCACAGATTTCTCCAGCATGTAGGATTCAGTATGCTCACAGTGGGTGCTGGAGAAAAGGAGCTATGTGGGCATGTCTTGTTGCCGTGTTTAGAATTTGGCAACCATGTGTCCATTTCCCAAATCTGTTGTGTTGCTCATTGCAAAATGAAAGGAATGTCAGTGCATTTCAGTTCGACATACCCCTCAGCAGCCAAGGCATTTGTGTCCCACCAGGAGACCTGCTGGGGTTTAAAAGGGGCTCATTCTCTCTAAGAGTGCATCTTCAGTTGTTTGCAATGCTTTCATGCTGCTGGAAGTTTGGTGTAACAAAAACGTAAACGCTTCATGCAGTTGACCCCATCCCTCCTGACAATGTTCGTTTGCAAGCCTCATTTTCATCAGTTCTTTGGATGCTTGTGATGATCGACCAGTGGAATGTTGTCCTATGCAGTGGAGAAGATTAAGAAGTATTGTAATGTATGAAGAAAGCTCACAACAAAGGGAAGCACAGAGGACCAAATTAAAGCATACTGCCAGTGGCCCATGTGTGAATGAAGGGCTGACATATCCATGAACCGGATACACTGCAAAGAGCCTTAATGCCTGGAGCCTCAAACTGTTGATTAAATTATTGATCACTGGTTGTGCACTGGCTGTTTAAGGATTGGGGGCTGCAGCCTGCTGGGGGGGATGGAAAGGAGGGGTCATAAGGGCTGGAGGGGGATTTGTTTGGGGCGTTGCACTTGGCTGTGCAGCAGGGCTGGGAATAACCAGGCGATACAACAGAAACAGGTATGCGTTGGAGCCAAATGCATTCCTGTATTCCTGAATACAGTGTTTAGTATTCGCAAAATACTTGTGGATGAAGATTGTCAAATGTTGCCAAGCAGCACCCTTTCGATGTTAAGGCACTCTGGGGATGCAGCCAATTGCATGCTGTCACATTTTAGGGGGCTTGACACATCAGTTTCCTGTTTGCGCAAAGTGAAGATCAGGATTTGTGGGAGACACAGGTTTGCTTGGGAGCCATGTTTGTCACATGGCCTTGCAGGCAATGGTTCTTGCCCAACTCAGCGAAGGGCAGCATGTGAAGGTGAAGCACAGATTTGCGTGAGCGAAGCTACTCTGTGCTGCCACTCTGTTCATGTTACACTGCGTTGATATGCATCTGGCGTGTCCATGCGACGAGCTGCCAGGCACGAGTAATGGGCAGCCAACGAATGCTACCAGAAGACAAATCCCAAATATATATGCACAGTTTGAGTTGCACCTGACCAGTTCCCCTTTGTAACATAGACTTTGCACCAATAGTTATTCAACGAGTTGCACATCTCCCACACGTTCCCAACATCGTAGGCTACTCACTTGTTGTGCCATTGCAAGGCGTAAGCTCAATATGGTGCAAGCGGGTTTGCACTGATTTGACTTCGTTGGCAGCATTGTGATGACAAACTCTGAAAGGGGGGCAAGGATGATTGTATGAAATGCTGAATTGTGGAGGTAACTTGGGAATTTGAGACATGGAATTGTATGGCAGCCAAAGGTGGCCCATAGCCTTGCGGGTGGCTGGGTGCAATCTGTGCATTTCGAGGTGGACCACAATGCAGCAACGACACAAAATGGTCAAGAGCGTGTTGTGCAGCACCACGCCAAAGTTTGCTTACTTTAAGCTGACGTAGTGTGACAGCTGTCTCTCAGGTGGCCTTGTTTCAAGCACCAAACATGGGACAATTTTGCATGCGATTCCATTTCTGCGCCTGAGCTATCTCTGTTGCGGCCAAGAAGGCAATTCTTGTATCTCAAATGGAGAAAGAACGACCAGGCCATCGTCGCAGGAGTCACCTGGTCTCACCGTTGAGAATTCGAAAGACAGCATGAAGCACAATACAAGTCAATGTGTTGCAAACATTAGCGTTCTGTTGTGTTTGCAGGAGGTCAAAGCACCTCAAGCTTCAATTCCTGGGCCATAACCTCTCCAGCAGGGTGATCTTGGATGTGCTTAAGTGCACCGATCCGCACAACATGCCCAGTGTCTTCTCCAGCGAACGCGTCGAGTCTGTCAACCGCACCTTGAAGCAAATATGGCCATTCTACGAACCTGTGATTGGCAAGCTGATCGTGGAGACAGTCACTCCCTTGTTCGAGGTGTGGAAGCCATCCTTCATAAAGACGATCAACTTCGACAAACTGACGTTTGGCGATGTGCCCTTCAGCATCACACAGCTGGAGGTGCTCAGACACGGGGAGGATGAGTTTGTGCTCCAGGCTGCCATCAGGTGGGCTGTGGTGTCTTCTTTCATCCTTGTATAGAGTTTCACGTCCAAAAATGTGAAGCTGCTGCTGTTAATCAGAACGTTGTTGATCAGATTGCTATAGGAAACTGTGCCATTTAGGAGGTTCCATATCCCTTACCCATGCGTGTGCGCTAAGTGCACAGAACATCTGATGTTTGTGGCCCAGTTTGGGCCTACCTGCAGGCATCAATAATGTTAATGCAAGGCTGAGAACTCCTGGCCCCTGTACCCACCAGGAGGTGTCAGACATTAGTTGCAGGGACAGAATTTGTTTCTAACGGTTGGTGTTTCTGTCCCATGAATTCCATCAAGAGCCAATACCTGCCAACAGGACCCCACATCACCCAGCAGATAGCAGGGTAGTGGCTTGTCTTACTTCGACTAGTAAGGCGAATTCGGGCATTGTGGGTACGAAATTTAGTGGTTAGAAATCAATGCTTTGGCACAAATTACATGGACTTATTACTCTTAGCACCTATGCCTCAGTACTTTGGACGAGTGCCGGGTCCACCAAGGATGTTGACTGCTAACAGTGACGATGTGGGCCACTGCTATGGGATTCTGCCCTCATCTCCTTGATGTTCGAGGGCGGTGCTCGACACATTGTGGAAAAGGTTTTTGCATAGATCATTTCCCCTCTGGTCCTTCGCTATTTTTGGTTTGCTCATTGATGCCTCACAGGGATGTCTGATGCGATTCAGCCAGCACCATGGATGGATTGTTGGAACGGTAGAATTTGCTGTTGACCAACGAGCATTGTATGTCAAACATACTGCATGCTTGTCGATGGGCATCTCATGATGATGGCCATCCTCCCAGCCTGTTGGGTGAATTTTCTGCATCCTCAGCACTTTACGTTCTTGTGGGCACAACATATGCAGTGCACAGTACTCAGCAGTACAGAATACAGCATTCAGGAGTATACAGTACTCTGTATACAGGATTGAGAATATTGCTGCGCACAGAATACAGCTATCAGGAGTACACAGTACTCTGTATACTGGATTCAGAATATTGCCATGCACAGTGTACAGCACTCAGCAGTACTTTGCAGTGCCCACATTGCCCCACGTGCCATTCCCTTTCTCAACCAGCAGCCTCAAGTTTGCCCTGAACATGGCTTTGAATATCACTGATTGGACACGCGTGCTTGGCAGGTGGGATGGCACGGCGAGCGTCTCGCTGATGGTGGAGGCTGGTGGCGTCAAGATGGTGCCAAAGGTGGATAAGCTTGACTTCTTTGCCAACGTACGCATAGCGCTCACCCCCCTGGTGCCGATTCTGCCATGCTTTGGGGCCATGACCTTGGCATTCATGAAGCCTCCGATGGTACGTGCCTGATGCCTGAGTCGCTGTGGAAGCCAGGTCCAGCACATTTGCAATGATTAGGAGATGACTGTTGGCTTGCCTGCATGGAATCATGAGTTCACCAGATTAGAGGCGCAGCCAGTTCTAGTGGCAACCTGTTCAAGATGTGGCACATATCACCTGTGCACAAAGCCATGGTGGACAATGAGGTGTGAGGCGCATGCGTACGTTCTGAGCCCATTTGCCAGCAATAACTTATCACTACCCCTGCGTCAAGTTGCTTGTTGTTTGTTGGGCGCTGGCAGAGGATTGCATGACTGACTCAGCACCCATCCCCTTCCAGCCTTGTGTTCACTCTGAGCAAACTCTTGCTGACAGAATCGGGATGGTGCATGGAACACATGATCGTCTTGACGTGAAGCTGTGGTGCACAGTGTTAGTGCCGAAACGTTGGGGCCTCAGTGTTTGTGGTGTTTGTGGACTCCCTTGTTAGTGCTGAAACATTAGGGCTCAGTGTTTGTGGTGTTTATGGACTGCCCTTGGTTTCATGTTGTCCGAGTTGGATATGAACACTGGACATATTTGCCTGGGCACTGCGTAGTAGGCATGAAACTTTCACAATATAGCAGTCCCCGTCGTCCGTTTATGGCATCGACAAATTGGCACACAAGTACACCACTATGTTTAGGAGGGAAAGTGGTGCAATTGGTGTGTTCTTGAAGTGTAGCTGCCATGACTGTGTTTATTTGGTTTGGCATCTATCGCATGTCTGTTGTTACTTCTGTTGTCCTTGACCTAGGCTGTATGTTGTTGTTGTTGTTTGTTGTGGTTGACACATCTCACTGCTTTGCCTGAGTTTTGCTACTTCATCTGCACAGTCCATATTGTTTTGATTGAGCTTTTGCTGTGTTCTGTTTGGTGCAAATGACCTGCGTACATGGGCGTCCTTCAGGTGAATTTTGAAATCTCCATTGGCACGCCTCTGATGGGCTTCAACTCCACCACTGTGAAGGACTTCCTCACCAACTTTGTGGTGCACCACATCTTTGGGGACCTGCTTGTGTGGCCAAACCGGATCGTGGTGAGCCACCTGATGTCGAATTCACAAAGATTGTTTTGTGTGATGGACAGATTGTGGAACGACCAATAGTGGACATGGAATTTGGTGGTTGAAAATTAGCATGAGGCATTGACAAAATTTTGCAGTGCCAGAATGAGTGTCCAGTAATATTGCATTTTGGTATCTTGTACAGTGCTGATAGCTTGCTTGTTGGCAGCGCCTGTCCTTGCCATTGAACTGCGTGGGAAGGATGCACTGCTTAGCCATCCATCAATGCAGCTTCATTGAATTTCGGTTGGGAAGAAACCTTTGTGCAAGTCTCCCTTCAGCTGAGAAAAGAAGTGTGCAAAACCGAAAAAGCTCTCTTGTGCCAAGTATTGCAATGTGCTGCCGCTGCACTTTCAGGGCAGGTAATGCCATTGACATTGCCATGGATAGCTATGGAATGCACATAGTTTGTTTGTGTGTTTGTTTGTTTGTTCCTTACATGGATGCATCGACATGACATCACGGCATCGATCAATGTAGGGTACCAATCCCATGTGCAAAGGGTGCATCCTGGCCCACCTATGCAACCATAAACGCGTCTCTGCTGGCAGCCACAGCTGCCACAGAACCCTTGGAAACTCCCTCATGAAAACAAGAGAAAATGTCTGCAAGCCAGAAATCAGAGTAACAAAGTATTCCTCATTCACCTCGTTTGCCCGAACTCGATCACTCACTGAGCTTAGGAAAGCTCCCAATCGACAGCAATGTTTCCAAACCAGATTGCGCAAATTCGAAACATCAATCTCTTCCGAATTTAGCCACTTCTCACACAATTCGGCCACCCCATTGCAGTCCACAAGAAGGTGATCGCAATGATATTGCTCCTCGCACAATACACAAACAGTCAGCTCATCGTCATCTTGCAGTAGTTGGAAACTGCCAAGGTGGCACTGGCCGGTCATAAAGCGTGCCACCCAAACAAGCTCGAAGCGTTGGCAACAATCAGCATCGTCAGGGGACCAGTGCACTTCAAAATCTGGTAGAAGGTCATGCAAAAAGCGACCAGTACCAGCACTATGCCACCAACGCTTCCATTTATCGAGCAGGGTCATGTCCATGCTCCTCAGGACATGCCGCTGCCGCACATGAGTAATGTCCAGTGATTGGCATCGGAAGATCGTCCGCCGGAAGCCCCGCCCATCTCGTCCGGCGTCGAATAGGATCGGTGGATTGTGGCAGGGGGCATGCTCAGGGCAGCTTTGCGGTACCTATACATGTACCTCACGAGCGATCTCATGATGTGCAAGCTGGCTGGACCAATGCCTGCCAGTGCGAGAGATGCCTCAATAGAAGTGAAACGTTCCAAACTGAAAGCCAATCGAGCAGCCTGTGCCAGTGCCCCATCGGTCTCGTCCAATCTGCACTCAATTCCCAAAACCGCAGCTCAAACAGGGCCCCCATATAAAGGGATGGAAAGATCATCCCCCTCACTAGTCGAGGAAAAAGTAGAGGATGCAATCCCCAGCTAGTCCCAACTCCTTTTGTCAACGCCCAATCTGTGCCCTTGATTTAGCCACTGCCTCACGAACGCAACAACTCCAAGCCAGGTATGCATCAAACAAAACACCAAGACAGCGCAGCTCATGGGTGTATGGCAGCTTCTCCCCATGCAGAAGGGCACTGAGTTTTCTTTCCACGACTACAGTTTTCCCACTGAAAGTCATGCACTTGCATTTCTGTGGATGAAATCGCATGCGCTATTTATTGCACCATTTCCCGGCTCTCCACAAGGCATGTTGCAGCATTGCATAAATTGTTCCAGAACGAAGAGCACCACAAATCCACAAAGCTACATCGTTTGTAAAGCCTTGGGCGCAGAGTCGTCCCAATGTGTCAAGACTGCGCAGTAAATCATTGATATAAACTAAAAACAATGTGGAAGAAAGTGGCGACCCTTGGGGGACACCACATTGTGTGATAATTTTCTCAAAGTGTTTCCTTACCTCAACACAAGCTACCCATTTGCTCAAAAAGGACTGGACCGAACCCACTAGGTAATCGTCAATTCCTAACATTTGCAAAGCAAACCCGCATGCCATACTGTGCCATACGCAGCCTGCAAGTCAAAGTAATGCATATAGTGGTTGTTTTATTCGATGGATATTTGTTTTAGTGTTGATGGATGTTTTTCTTGTCACAAAGACATTCATGCAGCCCTTGCACCTTGCAGGACGGGTATGTGACTGGGTAAGTTGTTTTTGTTGTTGGTCTGGTTGCCAACACTGATTGCCCCAATATGTCAGAGCATGTTCCTATGATTTTGCAATCAATATTGCCATGCTGTGTCCTCAGATTCCGATTCTTCCAGAGGAAGAGATTGGAAGCATCGATCATCTGTACATGCATACACGAGGGGTGCTGCGGGTGGTTGTGAAGGAAGCTGATGGGATGGGCGTGTATGGTGACAGGACAGCATGGAAAGTGTATCTTCAGACTGTTGCATCCAAATCGCACTGCACAAAGGTAAGGCCGGGACAGCTGTCCATGCACATTCTTAGAGCAAACGTTGCAGATGCTGAAGCGCCTGATGTCACAATGCAAGTGAGCAGTTTGGGAGCTGTCACGTCACAGGTCCTTGCTTTGCTGCTGCTTGGCTTGGTTGCTCTCACTGCTGTTGTTACAGCTTTGGTGGTGGACTTGCAACAGTTGGCCCAATTTTGGATGAGTGCCTTCATCAAGGCAGGTCATTGCCTTATACCATGTTTTGGGCTTGGGGAAGCTTGAAGCAAGGGTGCTGTCAACCCACAGTTGTGCAATTTAGTTGGTTTCAGCTGCCTTAAATTTTCAGCATTCAGGGCACACATTTACACCCTGATGTTGCGAGGTGGACAGATGGGTTCATGTGGCGGCTTGTCTGCTTTGGAGAAAGTATTGTGTAGACTCATGATCACAAACCACAAGTGCACATGCCCTCACTGGGAGGCCCACAGAATCAATGTTGTGGTCGTGTTGCTTAGCTCCTGCCTGGCTCTTGTTGGTGCAGGCCAAGTCGGGTGATAGCATCGTTTGGGAAGAAGAACACCACTTGCAGGTGGTGGAGTTGTGTCAGGTGTGTGTGCCCTGGCAGCTGGGGCCAGTGTGAAAGAGGAAATAGCAGTCGCAGCCAGCTTGGCGGGCACTGCCCAGGGATTGGTTGAGAAAACCATTTTAAAATACGTTTGTACGCATAATTTCAGTCCTAATAATTTCAGAGGGTGCGTGTTCTGTGGTGATTCTTTTGGTAGTTCTGCTGTGGAGTGTTGCTGTAGGTGGCTGTGTTTTATTGAGATTGTATTCAGGCATGGCATCGACAGACTTCTAGTGTTGCCGTCTGTTAGCGCCTGTTTCTTCCCACTGCAGGGCCTCCATGCCACAGTGGTCGACAGAAATTACCGCTATGTGGACCCCTTGATGGCATCCACCACGAAACTGGAGACTCAGCATGGGCGTAAGGTCGGGAGTTGCTTTGTTGACATCCATGACCTTGAGGCTGGTGTGCCGGTGGACTCATGGTATGAGCTCATTTCAACGGCCAAAGAATCAGGAACGGTGAGCACACAGATTGCTCACACTGCTCCACTTTAGTCCTGCTTACTTGTTTGTTATGTTCGTTATTTTTACTGGTTATGTTCTTGTCATGCTTGCTGCACTGTGCTGCCATCCATCCTGATGCATTTGGAGACCTCTGAATGTGTTTTTGCAGTTTGGGCAGGAAAATCTCAATTGTCCTGTTCAGGAGGGAAGAAGAAGAAGAAGAAGATTTCCAGACCTGGCGCTACGACAGTCCATTGTGCATGTCGCCACCGTGGAGAATTCAAGAGATACCACGGTGGCAACACGCACAATGGACTGTCGTAGCGCCAGGTCTGTTCAGGAGGGAGGTGTGCCTGTTGTGTTAAAAGTTGGCTATCTGCTCGGAGGACACAATTCTTTGCAAGGGCTCAGCTGCTCGTGGCTGGTTGTATGTTTTTCTGCTTCTGGGAAGGACTATTGATGGACTTTTTGATGAATCATTGGATAATCCTATTCTTGTTCACAGAATCACGAAAAGTCAGCAGCAACTTCACAACAGGCTCACGAATTGGTCCTGGATTCCCAGCAAATCATGCCAACACAGCATCTTGAGGTGCTGTGTGCAGTACACTACTATACCATACTGTGTCTTAACACCATCGAGATACAGCAAAATACGACAGAATGAGGGCAGCGAAGTGGTGCACAAACTTCAAGCATTAACCTTGGACATAAACTGTTGGGAGAAAGCTATGGTCTCAAGCTTCGTCCCTCAATGTCACCACAAACAATCCCAACGCTGAAAATGGGGTGCCTGGAGGTTGCTTCCCGGTTGGCTGTGCTGCCCCATGCGTTAATGCTCCTTCCATTTGTAGCTTCGACACCAACACGGGGAAAAAAGGCAAATTGCAGTGAGACAAGCATGATGTTGTACAGCCATGATGTGTGTTCTGTTGGCCTCAGTCCATGTCATTTGCATCTTGTGCTTCAGCATGTGACAAATGCCGCAGCTTCCAAGGAATAGGCTCTACCAGCAACATACGCAGTGCCTGTTGATGTTATGTCATCTTGATTTTTGTTGCGTTTTCCTGTGTATCCAGCAGCGCCTCCATCTACCCAACCTTCGACAGGCAGCGCGGGTTTGCTACCATGGAGCAAGAACTAGTTACAGGACCACAAAGATGGGAATCAAGGCCACGGGCAAGACAGCAACGAGGGCCGTGGACGAGTTGGTGAAGGAGTCCATGGCAGTAGGCGCCAAGACCGTCAACGTGCTTTCCAAGGCTTCGGACAAGCTGACAAGAAAAGCTGTGAGCAAGTGGCACTCTGTGGCTGTGGGCCACCTTCCCCAAGAGGTCGTGGCCGATGGCAGAAGCGCTTCAGGGTCATCTGCTTCTGTGGAGGGCGATCTCGAGTTGCACCAAGAGCCGCCCAGAAGGAGGCGCCGGGACCGTCTGCTTTCCAAACTGGGATTGGCAAAGAGCAGGTCTGAACCATCTCTGGACACTGACGCTTCCACGTCTGGTGATTCGCCAGCTGCCAAAGCGGGCTCCAACCATGCTTCTAAGCACTTGTTGGGTCAAAAGGGATCTGATCCCGGGGATCCTGAAGCAAAGGGTGGACTGGCCCCACAGGCGACAGAGGATCATTCCATATGGCACAATACCTCGCACGCCTTGCACAAACTGGGGCACCCCCTGGAAACACTGCACAAGTTGGGGCGACACAAGAAGAAATCGTCCAGTTCTGCCGCTGCTGATGGGTCTGCTTTATCGACCGAGCAACAAACAACTTTGGTGGATCGGGTTGGGGTGCTGCAAGCCACGCCTGAGCACAGTGGCATGGGCCTGCTGCCAGATGACCCCCCAGAGGCACGTACTGTATCATATTCTGGCTCTTTGGGCTCCAGTGGGGAGGTGCCTGGAGATGTTGATGATCACAGTCCAGGACCACATCAAAATTCTTCGCCCCACAGTGAAGAATCATCGCAGATAGGAAAAGAGCACGATGGACCGAGGGTCGAGCAGCCAAAGAAACAAAATGAGCCATCTACGTCTGAAATCCAGCTGCCAGGGGATCTGTCCGATGGGGCTGAAGAATCGGAAGGCTGCAGTGTGGAGAGTTGGTCAGCTGTCGATGGGGGGCACGGTCTGAGGGAAGCCCTGGGTGATGTTGAGGTGGAGGGATCTACTACAGCAACACATCGGCTGGATGCTGCTCACGCCATCCACAAAGCAAGCTCTGCGCGTTCCGTACTCACTATAGCTTCAGACGACAGCTGGGACACGGTAGGCCTGTTACACTTGCTGCCAAAGGCAGTCCCTTGTTTCTTGGCTAATGTATGATTGAGCGTGCATGGGCGATGTGCATTTCAATGGCTCTTTTGTTTGCACACTGCATTGTGTAGGCCTATGGATGCTTGGCTTCTTTGTTTCTGCCCTAACTACTGTCGCAATCTACGTTGTCCTATCTTTGACATGAAGTCAAAGGCACCACAGTGTCAAATCTAGGCTATGTTCTGTTTGCCCAAAAAAGGCGATGCCCCCAGGTGTGGGTCATTCTCTGCACATGTCACAAATTGTTCAGTTCGTTATATGCCTCTTGTTGCTGTGTCGCAAAGTGTGGTTTGCTCCGTTAACAACCAGGTGACTCCCAGAGAAACTGGTCCGCGCTTGCGGCTGGAGCTCACCTACATGCCCCTTGACTGGCTGAGGCGTGGATGCCTCAGTACCACACAGCATTCTGTGCACCATGGGCTGCTCTTCTTCAGGTTAGTCGTCTCATATATGCACAGAGAGGCTTAGGTGGGGCACGCTTCACGGATCGTAACGGCAGTCAGAGCACTGTTGAGGAACTGGGAAGCAATGTGTTCTGTTGTCCAACTCCCTGCAAGCTTGAATGAGGCGAAGTACTGTGGCATGAAAGAAGCCTGTTGCAGCAACAACAACACACATACAGAAGCTGTGTGTCTTTACTTTGTTGCAATATTTTTGTGCTTTGGGTGGACATCGCAGGCCACTTTCATGTGCGGATCCTTAATATGTGGACCTGCTTGCAGAACAATTTGCAAGGGAGGGAAAAACGATATTTTGCAATACTGGTATTCGATGTGAGCGTGCAACAGGCGCTCAAGCCTGGGCCCTGTGTCCCCTACCACTCCAAGGTATTTTTGTGGCTCTGCATGGGCATCTTGCCTCGATTGATCCTCGAAACAAGGCCTTCGCGGACAACTTGGCCCGCAATCCATGAGCGGCCACCAACACCACCTCTTTTGTGCGGTCCACAATCCATCACCACCTAGCTAGTCTACGTTCGTGAAAGAGACACGGCATTAGTTATCTGACCGTTCTGTTTGTGCCTGGCCATTTCAAGTTACACAACAAAGCCAATTTCGCCAATCTCATGTTGACAGCAATTCCCATAATCGACCGCCGCTGAATGCGGTGCTGGGCTTCACCTTCTCTGTCACCTTGTCAGCGCGTTTCTGAGTCACCCTCTGTTGTCTTGACAGCACCAATAGAGGACGAAAAGTCTTGGCACCAAAAATTCGGGGCCGGAAGGTGGATCTGGTCCACCAGCCCAGCACTGAATTTCAGCTCTAAGCTAGGCAAGCTGCACAATCAGGGCCATCAGAACGCGTTTGCTATCACTGCGCTTCCTCACAAGCACAGCCCGATCTTCATCCAAATGGAGTGGATAGTTTTGCACTAGCGGCTCTGTTTCGCCACCGCGAACGCACGCTCCTCAAAATGGCGAAAACGGCCATTTTCGCGGAATCATTGAAAACCGGTGGGTTTCTGGCAGTAGGACCCTTGCTACAAAGTACTGCCAAATCATCGGTACTTAACAGATTGACTTCAAACTTTGACCGTATATTTCTAAAACGTTGACCCAGCTATGGACAAAATTTCGCTGGCAAAGGTATAATTTCTGATGGAGAAGTCATGCGTCAAAATTGTGGAGGACATTTGATATGGGACAGAGGAAGTGTTAACTGCTCCCTTACCCTCCATGGCAATAATGGACCATGCTGTTGTCATTGTTGTTATTGTTGTGATTATTGTGGGACAGTGCAAACGCCACATGTTGGGTATGATGTCAGGAAGTGGTCAGAATGGAGATTAAATAACAGGGGCAGAGAGAAACAAAAACACAAAGACATTGTGGTGTCCACTGTGGAAGCATCATGTGATTTGATGACCAACAGACACACTTTTGTCAAACTGGCTTTGGACTGTCGCCTGCTGGAAACAGGCTGTCTTTGCTGGGATGTTTTCTGTCCTGTTTTATTTTATCCTGTTCTTGAAACTAACAATCTGCACAGAAACGATGCTGGATTTCCTGCCATGTGCTTGCAGTACCATCAATGGCCGCAGCACTTTGTAGACGTTGAGGTGGATGTTTCTTCCCTTTCGTTCTTTGGTTATCCAGCCGCTCAGACCAGCTGAAATGGGCCATCGTTTGTTGCGAATCGCAGGCTGCTAAGAGGTTTCAACCTCCCAGCAGGTCTGCATGAGCCGTACTGCGAACTGAGGCTGGTCAACACCAAGACTGGTGAAGAGCGCGAAACTAAGATCTCCAGGGCCATGAAACAGGTCCACAATTTCTACATAGAATGGAATGAGAGCTTCGAGTGGTTCAACGTCAGTGTTGATGAAGTGATGACCATTCAGGTGGTCACTGTGCCCCTTCCAGTCTCTCAGACAGCTGCAACACATTTGACAAGTAGAATGATGCGCTGGTGGTCTAACTGATCTCAGGCCTGGGAAAATGCAATCCCAGGCAAGATCGTTGTGTTCGCTCCTTTGCATCTTGTTGTACAGTCAGTGAGTGCTGGCCACAAGATGCTGCCTAGATGGGCGATCGATGTCGGCAGGTGGCCCTGGATGGACATGTACACATGGAGGTGCCAGGAGTGGGCACCAAGCGAGATTTTGCATTTCATGTCCAGGCGTGGTGAAGAAATTCGCAAATGCTGTCGACAGTATGTGAGCAAGTTTCTGTCTGCCAGGTGATCGATGAGGGCAAGATCAGGGTGAAGCAGGTGGGACATTCAGAGATCCCAATGTCTGACGTGGCAGCTGCAGTGGACCCATCCCATGCCAAGGTGCTGATCGAGACGCTCACCCTTGAGGGCAGCAAGGGAGGACGGGGCGGGGGCAATGGGGACCTTGAGGTCGAAATGGATTGGGTGCCACTCGACCACAATCCCATCAAGGGGATCGAATCAGGGAACTGTGGGTTGGTGGGCGCAAGGGAGGTTGGTGCTGGGAAGATGAGGCAGCGGGGGGTGTTGCGGAGGGGCTGCCTGCATGTGCGGCTACTCTGGGCAAGAGACCTGCAGAATGTGGACTGGGTGGGGAAGAGCGACCCGTATGTGGTGATGAGGGTGAGTTGCACAAAGGCTCAGGGGTGCACAGCTGGGTTTTGGCTTTCCTCCTTCTGTATTGCTCTGTTTTGGGGAGGTGCACAATCAACACCCATCCAAATTTCTCAAGGTCAATTGAATAATGCAACAACACAAAAAATTACTTCTTTGCCTCTGTTCGACGTTGCCCAAATCTTGATGTGGGTGGTCCCAAACTATGCTGCAGAATAAGCATTTGCAGATGTGAACATTGCGTGACATCCATTCGTTGCTCCCACATTAGTGAGCAATGTGTGCAGAGGGGCTCTTGTTCAGCTGATTCTCTGTAATTGATTATCCCTTGTTGATTCGTTTTTCTGCAGCTGATCCACGGCATTGGTTAGTGACAAAGAGCATGAGTCATGTGCTGGAACCACAGGGTGGTTTGGGAAACATTGGTTCTTGTTAGTTTTGCATCTGACGTTGCCTTGCACAATGTGCACATCACATTCACAAGTCAACTGGTGTGGGTGAAAACAAGCCAGCTGTTGTGGAATCTGATGAAGACAGTTGAACCCTGTCTGCAATTTTCACCTTTCTACAGCAGCAATCAGTACACTCAGTAGCACTTCGTTTTGCAACATTTGTTGGAGTGAGAACATTGTTCCCCCTCCCTTGTAGGTGAATGCGAACCAGCTACAGTCAAGTGTGGTGCAGAATGATCTGAATCCCAAGTGGTGTGAAGAGTTCGAGTGGCGCAGCGTGAAGGACAATGACATCCTGGCCATCGATATTCTGGACAGGGGCACCATCGCAGACAGAGTGTTGGGACGGTGTGACGTGAAGATCAGTGCAGCTGCTACCAAACCAGGTTGGTATCACCAGTGCCCAACAAAAAGCAAATGTAAGCTGAAGTGGAGAAAAGTGCAGTCAAAGATGTTGATGTGAGCTGAGTGAAACAACACAAACCATAACCTAGGAGTAAAGAGAATGGACCAGAAAGCTAAACGTATCCCCACCCATGCATCACACGTCAACCATCTCATATTGTGTATCTCATGTTGCAGGTGTGGTTGTCCCACTTATCGAAGCGATTATGGTGCTTGTAGTGTCTGACGGTACTCTACAAGTATGTGCACAGCTGATCCAGCTGTCAGTGCATTGGCTCTTTGACATTGTGTACCACCCAACCAAAGCGGACATCACAAGATATCCACAAGACCATTGTTCATATAGAATGTGTTCTTGAAGATACCAGAGCCACCTGTAACTGTGTGCCAAAACAAACAGACTGAATGACCCACCCAATGGTATGTTTGTTCGAATGATAGACAGCTGACAAGTTGTCATACTGTGTTGCAGGAGAGGTGCAGAAGCTGAAGGAAGTCTTGCTGTCAGCCGACATGACTAAACCAGCGGGCGGGACGATCGCCCTATTGATGCACTTCCATCCCACCTCTTCGTCGGGCGACGAGGCGGATAGAGTCTCCCCAGTATGGCCGGAACTGACCCCAGATGACTTATAACATAAGGCGAAATGCAGTTCCCAGCATGCGGGGCTATTTTCTAAGGTTCTGAAGCTCTGTACTGGTACCAAATATGTCTGATAGGGTGACGTAGTGCAGATGCGCGGATTGGGAACGCGCATGTTTGTGGGGATCATGTAGTCATGGGCTCTCTAGGGGCTACTACTTTGTCTATGCAAGAAGGGCAAAACGTCACAAGGTCCATAGGTGACGAATCACTGCCCTTGCGCCATTGAGGCGGTGAGAGATAAATACGGGCTTTGCAGTTTTCGACTTGGGGCTGTGTAGTTCAGAACTTGCATTGCGGCCCTTGGCACCGTAGGTTTGGAACTGGGAACATGCAAATGAACAATGGCTGGTTTGCAGCCTGGAGCTGATCTATCGCTCCTATTACTCTGAGCTCAAAAGGCGCACAAAGGAGGTTGATATCATTGCCGTCTGACCTGCTGTCTAATTGATTCATTGATTTGTATCTTGATTCGTTGATTGGTTGATTGATTGGTCCTCTTACTGACTGATTTAGGCACCTCTGCTCATTGGGTCGAGCCTTGCCATTGGCCTGGCCTGCGTCCCTGTGGGACGTCCAGACGCCGACTTTGCGTTATTCTAAACCTTGGTGATCGCGTAAACCTCTGGAAGGGGGGGAGGCTTTGGTCTCTGATGGGCTATGCCACCAAATGTTACATGAATGGGCGTCAATCCTCTTGCGTTCGCCACCATATGAAGATGAAACGCCTCAAGCCGCGGCGCTCCCGACAGCTTACCTTATTGGGGAGTTCAGATTGCGATTGCAATTGGCCAGGCACCGAGCACTTGAAGGCGATGTCAAGCACAAGAAGGCGCCAATGTGCAGTGTGCGCGGTAGTACCTGGAACCACAAGACACGTTCCTGTTGGCGGTCCGCAGAGGGCCCCTGTTTGGCAGGCTGGCCGCACCGTTGTGCCATCGAGTCCCTTGGTGATCAACAACCTGGATGTGCGATTTTACGATCATGCCGAGCAAGCATCCATTTGTTTCAATCTGCGTGTCTTCTGCTCGTCCCGGGATGTGCTCCGAGCGCTTCATGGGTATTAACCTTGAGACCATCTCGATGAACATGCAACCATGGAGGCGTATGGCACTGGGGCCAGCAGGGCGGTTGCGTGCATGGGAATCTTGTCAGGGCTGCACAATCTCGGACAGTGTGGGATTAAGATTCCATTTGCGATGGATGGGAAGGACAGCGATGCATCTTTCGTATGTTTTAGGCGTCTCAGAATTTGAAATTCTGCAGTATGATTCAACACAGTTCAGAATTGTTGACAATGTCAGGCGGCCGGGATTTCCAATAAGCAATTGTCGACGTACGCTCGCGGCGTCTGGAACTTGCAAGTTGCCACGCCAGCTCACACGATCTCAGAAGCGAGCGGATTCAAAAAAGGAGAAATTTGCAATGTCCGCCTCAGGCCAGGTGCCATAGCCTGCGGGACACCCGCTCGGGTGGTTGATATCGCGCATTACGATTTGCCCCTTTTCAGCCTGCATCGCGAACGCGTATTCTGCTTGTATCGCTCTGCCCGTAGTACTTCGCCACAACAGACAGCACTACGAGGGGCAGCATGCCCAGCAATCGCTCGCATCAGCGCGCTGAATGCACGGCTCTGTCCAGGTCACCAGGCGATGTCCATCACATTCGGTTTTTGAGGTGCCCAAGGGCAGGCACATGTTTCGGGAAGCTTTTGTCTCATAGATTCTCCTGTGCGTGCGGCCCGCGTGACGTTGGGAAGGCGGTGGGACGTTTGAAACTGAATGCTCCAGGGGGCCACTTGCTTGCAATTTGGGAATCGAGGACAGCAGCCTGTGCTATGCGCGTCGGAATGCTCCTTGTCTTCCATGGTGTGAAGCAGAAGCAAACGGCGTTGTGCAACGCACGGCACGTGCACTGGACTCGTCGTATCAGTTCATCATTGATGCGACTAAGTAGAGTTGAATGACAGATTTTCAAAGGGTTACGACTCGTTGAATCGGCATGCACTCGTTAAATCAACCATTTGGTTAGATTCTGGGCACTGAGAACGTCTACATGAACGAAGCTTCCATTGTACCTGTAAGAAGGTGCTAGTCGAGGTGGGGATTTCCGAACGCAATGCTGCAACTGGATGTGTGAGAGATGGCCAACTGCAAGGTTGCTCCCCCCGTGCATGCAAGTGGAAGACAAAAAGTTGAAACATTAACCAAAACCGAAACAACTTCTGACTCCATCTCGATGCGTAGCCCGTCATCTCAATTGATCCCCATTGACAGCCTCCAGGCTCTGCCCTTAGTGACCCTAAGGAACGCCTGGAATACCTATTTTGCTCATTGTTTGACCTTTGGGGATCCCAGATGCCAGGGTCAAGAACAGTTCTGGACGGGGCAGACAGACTCTCTGGGGCTCCTTGGCGCGAGAAGGACCCCAAGGACCGACTTTGGAAGACGGGAACGGACCGAGCGACCGCTGTTCCGCACACCATATGAGCGGAGCCGCCCTTTGCGGCTGATTGGATCCTGCCGTGGAGAGTGGTGGGTGCCGACACAAGCCCTCGTGCGCACGCAAAGGCGCGCCCTTACTGTGGTGCCGCCCTGTACCTTGCACATTCGCACTTGGGTCCGCGATCGCAGACGTGGGAAGAATCTGCTTGCGGCTGAAATCGGCGGGATGTCTATTTTGGCGCCGCACCAGCCTTCCGCGGTGGGCTGCGAACCGCTGCTTCTGTTGGCGAGGATGGGGCACCGAATCGCCTCGTCGCCCCTGTTGGTGTTGTATCGGGGCGTTAAGTTCCCCCACAGAGGACTCGTGCCATTCCCTATCTCGTTCCGGCGTTGTCCTGCACCGCCATCCAGAGCGTTGCTGCACATCTCACTCCGTTATCCGGAGCTGCTCCAGATCCACTCAGCTGCCGGGTTGCGCGGCTTCAGTTTCCAACTTTTGCCCATCGTCCACCCGCCGTGAACTTTTTTTCCCGCAGTTTTGGGAGATGAACACGGCTCAGTGCTCGCTCATACGCTATGTTCAACAGTTGAACTCTGTTCATGCACTTTGCTGAACTGATGCAAGCTCTGTGAAGTGGGTGGTTTCTTCCACAGGTGGAATGGCCACATCAAGTGGGGCCCTGGTCGAAGACTCTGAAGAGGTCAGCCCCACGGCTCTTGGCAGGCTGCTGGCCGCCGATGTAGGTCAGGTACAGACTTGGAAGACATCCGGATGGAAGTCAGGGAAATGGGAGTTTGTCTTTCTCTTGCGCCGTGTCGATTTGTGGTGGATCTTTACACAGCCGGGCAAGCCCTGCCCAACAGATGCGGGGGCATGGAGGAAAGGGAACCACATTGCGCTGGTACGGGGCCAGACTGTGGTGGATTTCAGTGACAAAGAGGCGGGCGAGTGGTTTGTGAAATTCGGGGATGACTGCCACTACTTCAAAGCCAGGTCCACAGGTGAGGCAGCCCTCTGGGTGATGGCGCTGCGGCGAAGGGTGCATCCATGGAATGATGAGTTGCAAGGTCAAACAGCTGGAGAGCTGGTGGGAGATGCTGGCCACCATGACAAGGTGATGGGACCCATCAGTTTGAGTCATTCGACAGCTGCTCAGGAAATGGTCAAGGCGCTGGGGGCAGTTGCTGGTTTCACTAAAGAGGTGCTGGGCACTCTGCCCATCGCTGGTCCCGCCCTATCGCTGCTGGGTTTCGCCATGGAGGCAGTGTGTGAAGGAGCAGCTGATGCTGAAAACATTCGCCCTGCAAGGGCACTGCTGGAGGAAGTGGCAAACTGGACCATGGAGGTGCTGCGCAGGGCATCGAAGCTGCATGATGAAGATTACAAGCAGGAGATTTTCAAAGTGCTGGACGGTATTGAAAGTGCTGCCCGCATGCTTGAAAGGCATCGATACAGGTCCACAGCAGGGAAGCTCAAAAACACGTTTTTGAAAAGGGGCACAGGGTCACTGGCTATTGTGGATTTGCTGAAGCAATGCAAAGATGATCTGAGCAAACTCCAGATCCATCAGCTGGAGAAGCTGCAAATTGCAGGTAAGGAGTGCACCATTGGTGCTGGTTTCTGAGAGGAGGAGCATGCATTGAGATGTATTGAACTATGTTCTTCTGGACAATTTTTACAGAGTACTCGGCATCAACAGCGACGCAGACTGGTGTAGCTTACCACATTACCACGTACCATTCTGCCCATTGCTTGCAATACACCTGCTGCATACTAAGCCCCGAAACCATTGTTGGCTGATACCCAGACTCCTATCGGCACACAGGGCAGTCATGCGATCTTTGAACAACACTTTTAAGTGCTTTTCTTTTAGCTTTTCACTGCAATATTGCTTTGGATGGGCCTGATGGACGGTGAGTTTGTCATACAGCTGAATTTTGTTCAGTCTTGAGCTGAGAGCCAAGTATCCCTTTGTCTTTGTATGTGTGGCTCTTTTATTGAGTAGTTTCATTGTATCTGGTTTGAAGGGCTTGAAGAGCAAGACAAGCAGCATGCTGTTGTGGTGGCAAATCAACAAAGGCTCTTGTGCCAAGCCAGCATTAGGCGCAGGAAACACTGTTCACCGTCCAACATCCCAACTGCGCCGGACGCGGTTGCTCTTGAGAGTCAGCTGTATGTCGTCAGAAACATGTTGCTCGAAAGCGAAACAAAGTGCATTGTTATTTGGGGAATGGGCGGCATAGGGAAAACAACACTAGCTCGTGCCCTGTTGAATGACCCTGAGATTGCCACCAATTTTGAAAAGCGTGAATTTGTGACAGTTTCACAACATCCCAATGTCACGAAATGCCAACAACAAGTTTGGGATGCCCTTGTGGATTCTGAACAAGGTGTGCAATTCACCAATGCTGAGGATGGCAAATTGCGACTGCAGACAGCACTGAAGGACGAAGTTGTGTTTATTGTTCTGGATGACATGTGGGATGAGAACATTGTTCCGCACTTTGATGTTGTGTCCGCAAAGAGTCGAGTTGTCATAACCTCACGA